TCTTATGTCGATGGAGAGTTTACTTCTTATTGTTCCATTTGTAGCTAAATCCTAGCATTGTGATTGGAGGAGGAATGTCTCTCTGTATCCTTTTTTCTCAATGCTATTTATGTCCCTCTAAAGCTCTGTTGTAGATGCAGTCCCCCAGATTCTTCTTTCTTCACTAATAATCCCTAAAATTTTCTCTGTGGAAGCTGTTCTTCACTGTCATTCTTGCAAAAGGGGATGGGAGCAGAGAACATACTTAGAAAGACCAGCCAGGCCAGCATGGACCTGAATCTTAAGAACTGTGCTGTCTTATTCTTATATTAGCTTTCAGATCTGTCTTACTCTCTGGTCCGGACACGAGGAAACTGTCACCAACTATTGACTGTTGATCCTTGTCCGGGTCTCCTGTTAACATTCCTAGAGCTGGACCTGAGAACACCGGAGACTCAAGAATCCAAGCAAAGATGGTGAATCCAAGTGGTAGTGTGACCATCTATTATCTTGATAGCTTTGCTTATCTCACTTAAATCATTCCTGAATATCAGTAAATTTGATCCCCCTCCCCAAAAGCTATGATGTGCAATCCCATGTAAGATGACAGAATGTGCCAAAAAAAGAAAGAGTAGGCATTTAAGCTTTTTTTAAAGGGTTAAAAATAACACCATAGCAACAAATTGAAGTGATAACAGGTTCCAGTGACGTGAGGAACAGAGCTTATTCACTGCTTTTTAAAAAAGCCTACATAGAAATGCCCAATATGTTCATACTGAACATGTTTTTTTTTGTATTTTATGGGTAGCATATATCCCACATATCCCATATATAATACTCTGAGAAGGTCGCCGTAAGTTGGAATTGACTTGATGGCATGCATTTGTTACTATTATATATCCCAAGAATATATAAGGTCACCCAGTAAGCAAGCTCCATAGTTGAAGAAGGAATTGAATCTAGGTCTTCTTGATCCAATATTCCACACTGAATGAAGCACCAATTTCTTTTGCAGTTTAAGGTATGTGGGTTTTTTTAAATAAGCAAAAGACACCAAGGAGGAAGTAGGAGAAAGACACAGACACAGACACACACAAAGATACAAACACATACACTCACACTCACACACACACACACACACACACATGCAGAACACTCCAGAAAAGATGAATGCGTACAGTAAAATAAAAATTTTAAAATAATTTAAAAATAAACATATATCACTTAATTACTTGTTTATGTAACCAGATGATACTGTTGGAAAAGGGAATATACAGTTGTATCAAGTTCAGTAAAATATGTGACAAATTTCTTGCTGATCAAAATTAGATCTCCAGTCTGAAAAGACTGAGAACTATACCTTGCGTTAATTTATAACATTGCTTTACAGCACAAACCTAAGTTAAATATTGCTCATTTTAAATAGGATGCACTCTCGGGGTATGTTTGGCTGTAAGCAAGTTACTGTTTTGTTCTACTGACATCCACAATAGGGGGATGATAATCATAGGACTGGCCTACTTTACAAAACAAAAAAACAAAAAAAAAGATCACTGTAAGTCCCACAGTTGTGATAAGGTTTTGAAAGAAGGTCATGAATCACAAGTTTTCTGTGCATGCTCTACATGGGTTGATATCCATGTAGATTGTTATGCGCCTGAACGAGTCCTCAAGATCTGCTTCCTTTTGGGCATATCACCAAAACACAACTCACAGACATGTGCTACTGACTAAATTAAAAGTGGTTCATACTACATTTTCTGACATTGGCTACATGACAAGGCTCAAGTAGGCTCTGATTCCCAGATCCTCATTATCATAGAAATTTGAAACAGAGCTGAATGAGTAGCAAAAATAATGAACTGGTTCTTATACGCTCCAGTATCCCAAAATAAACTTTGCACTACCTTACATCCTCTATCTTGATGCCTAGCAAATTGTCTGTTTCAGGGTCCATAAAAATCCTCTCAAAGCCAAGCCACTGTTTTTGTTATTCATATGAGATAAACTTACGACACTTAAAAAATTGTGGGGAAGCACTGCTTCTCGGGTTGGATACAGATTGCTAAGGCATCTCAAAGGCAGTGTCTCCTGGTTGTTTCATTTTCCTATTCATTGTAGTCCAAAGCTTGCTGACTGATAAACACAAACTGTGCTTTGTTTCGATGACTTCTGGAAATTACTGGTGTGATCCCAGTGCTCCTGACAATCTGTAGTGTCACAGCAAAACATTTAGCTAGATCCAACACCAGGCCATCTCATGGAGATACTCTCCTGGAGTTGTGGGTCCATATTGGCCCAACGTTTCATCTGGAATGCACCTTCAAGCTCATTATGCATAGGTATTGCCTGGGACCATACTGAATAAAAAAAGTATTGCACTTAAAACAATGGTTTGACCAGAAAGAAGTCTTATGGATCTTCAAGGAAACAATTTCTTAGTCATACACATATGGTTGAATGCTTATTTTGGGGTGGAGGGGCTGCTCATTCACTACTTAAAATGTTTTGAGAATAAGAACTGGGAACTTGTAATCATCTTCAACCTTATACAAGAATAAATATAAAAGGTCAATTTATTGAGTGGCTTGTCCGCCCCTCCCCAATTATTCACTTCTCTTTTTAGTGGTCAGTAAAGGGGGAAAGCTTGTTTCCCTTGCTTGATGATTGTCTTATTCTACCAATGCTATCATATTGGGATTGTGTTCCATCCATATCATAAGCTTATAAAAGTACAACTGGCGTGGAGAGAGAAAATCCACCTCACCCCACCCCACCACCTTTCTCTTATAATGGATATAGCATCACTCAGAAAAATTGTTTGGCAGTAGGCTAAAGGCTGAAATGCATATTTCGTTTATAGGATTCATTGGCACTGAAGAGGTGGGGATGGCCATTGTCTAAAGTACCTTTGGAGTTAGACAAAGCCATTAAGATTAGGGCTACCCACGACATATTAAGGCATTTTTGCATCTTAATAGTAAGCTGTTGGTCTCTTCAATTGCTCATCTGTAACTGTCCATCTGGAGAGTCATCTATATTCCTTTGGAAGGACAGTACAGCTGGCAGTCATGGCTGGAGTGCCATTTAATAGTCTAAGTCAGTGAAATGGAATATTGTTGTTGTTTTTTTTAAAAAAACACCTTCAAGTAGGTCACCATTATCACGTTTCTGTTATATACGGGAATAGGATTTGGAGCTGATAGATATGAGTTACTGTTGAGTTTCTATTATTAATGTGAGATTTTGTACTTGCTGGATCATCATTCAGCTCTATAATACTAACTCCAGTGCAGAAGGGAGGGAGGGGTAATATAGCAGTTTTTAGCTGAAGAGAGTGTATTTGGCTTCCTAGATGAAATATTTCTAGAGGTTTTTACTGCAAAGTCATAATGCAGTGTGAGAAGCAGGGTGAGGGAACAGAGAACAAGATGCAGTTCAGACAAGAAGTTCAAAAGCTAGCTGTGAGGGCATTCTGCAGAGACTCAATATTTTGTTTTTGGAGATAAAAAAATAATAATAATACAACTGCTTCGTTCTTGGTCTTCAGGCTTCCGCTCCCGCAAAGATGCATACCCTCCCCTTGCACGGTCGGTGCCATTGCTCCGCTGACAGTTTACAGATGTGCCACCTCGCCTGAGCTATTTTTAGCATTCTCTCTTACAAACGCTTCGCGAGGGATAGAGGGAGACCATGCAGCTACCACTATGGCTCCTGTTTTGATTTATCGCTTCAACTCCCTCCGTACATCTCATCTCTACCCCTCGCTTTCAGACATATTTACAAACCCTCCTGCAGGTAGGCTTGTGGGCGCTGGATAGACGATCTCTGGGAGATGGAAATATTTGCAAAACAAGCGCCCTCCCTCCCTCTCACAGAAGCACCACTGAAGAGGAGAGGAGTCCGCGCGTGGGGCCAGCCCGGAGAAGCTGACTCTGATATCGTGCCTTTCCGGGCGTGTCTTTTGCTACGGAGCTCATACCCCACCGTTAAACAGTCCGAAAGAGGCTATTAATAGACCCGGAGAGTTTGGTGCCAGCTCCGGCACAGGC